TCTATAATTCTGCTCCGATTAAAAAAAATACACCTGCACCACGTTGACATCAGCAATTTATTTTCAATACTTATAAAGATAATGGAAATCACAAAAGGCACATCTCTATGTTTATTAAGATGGTCTGGGAAACAAGGAATTGGCTGTTTTTAATTAGCCACAGTAAATTGGCATTCAAATTTTAAGATACCTGCACCCTATGTGAAATGGACGGAACATTTAGGTCAATCAGTGATTTGACATTTTGTCCTAATAGGAATTAGCTGAAAAAGAATGGGGCGTGTTAACAATTTACAATTAAACTTATTTTGTGCTAGTCAATGTTATTAAATGTAAAAAAAGCTGATTAATTTAAACTCCAGTACTTTATTTTCAAAACAAAAATCCCATTTAATTTTGGAATTCTGAAATAAAAATGAAAGCAACTGTAACAAAACTGAATTAACAGTCTATCTTTCAATAACAGGTACTCAGTTATAGCAAATTTGTCAAAGATTGTACCATCAGTGTCACACAAATTATCTGTAATAGCATGAAAAACAATAAGTATAGTTAAGGTACAGAATGTTTGCTGAGCAGGCCTTTCTGTCAGTGTGCGCGTTGTAAATCCATGTGCACATCTTTTATACACCCTCAAATCCCAATATGGACACACCAGTGGCGAGGAATATCACAGGTCAGTCAAAATCACTACAGTCAAATCATTTACCCACTGAACAGAAACAAAACTACTTATACCTTTATAAAAATATTTCATCACAATCAGCAAATTCCTGGCAGTTTGTTTAAGACCTATATTAAAATGCTGTATTTTTCTTTCTCCTTTTATAGACGTTTTTGGCAAAAATACAAGCTGTTCAGAACCTCTGGCTCAGGGATTTCTGATTTATGAGGTTTAAACTTACCATTTTAGTTCTGCCAGGCTCAGTAAGTGGTTACATACAGACTGTAGGAATCTAAATGTTTGTGGCATCATGTAACTTATTATAACTTTTCCCTAGAGTTTTCAGTTAATTTCAGGTTTACTGCTGGCACTTAAAAAAACACATTTAATAAAGACATTGATTTTCTTGTGGGGTGGGGGACGACTCTTGTGATTTCCATACTGGTTATACCAAAATAGAATGTATCCTTTGGACTGACTTGGAAGAAAAGTAAATAAATCTTTGACTTTGTGATGAAATGGCCGCTCACAAGCTGGGTTCTACGTGCTGGAGAAAGTTTGACAAACAGATGCAGATTTAGACTGATTTGATCATTGATTTGATTTCTCAAAACTTCTACACATGAGATCCCATGGTTCCTCAGTTCCTGACCGTCCTGCCCTGCATGAACCGCTCCAACGCCCCTGTAGACGACGAACCCTTGAGCGGTCTTTCTCCCATTTCAGGAATTCCAGTACTAAAACTACAAAAACAGGGATTTGACGACTGCTGCACTACGTCAGTCGTGAAAACGTTCAGGCACCGGGTTATCGCAACCAACGCCCTTGGGACATCGCCTCAATGAGACGCACCAGCCAGGGTCAAAGGCAAACGCCGACGTGCATCAGCAGAAGCGTCAGCTGTGTCTGCTGGGGGCGCCGGGCCCGTCCACGACAGCACCATGGCCACCCTACTCCCCGACGGGTAATTGCACTGGATTAGCGTTTGGCTCTCAACCAGCGGTCTGGCCCCCAGGGCCCAATCATCTCAGTGAACGGGCTGTCCCGGGGCCCCTCTCAGCGCCGGCGTGCAGCACCTTGACTGCGGGGTGGGACCCTGGGCCCTGTCAGGCCCACTCACACAGGAGGCCGGGCCGGGATGGCGGTCTCTGACCACCACTGGGCACGGAGCACTCCAGCCCCGGGAAGGCCTCTGCTGGCGCCAGAGGTTGCGTAGACACGGAAAGAGCCTCTCTTTACGGCAATCTGGAAATGCCTGGAAATGCTTTTCCTCCCCTCCACCTACACCTTGACGTTTCGGAGCAAGCCTCGACTGGCTGCAGCGGAGACCGCGCTCTGAGCACGGTTAGAATTCTTCTTGACGCGAAGGATTGAAACGCCTGCTAGACATATACACCTCTCTGCTGCCACACTCCCGCAGTTTTGCTTTTTAAAAAGAGGTGACGTTTGGAGGAAGAGGGAAAAAAAGGGAGCTGCTTTTTGTACCCAGGACAAATTATGGCGTTCTATGTAAACATTAAGCCTTCCTGTCATTAACTAAAGAATCAGGCATATAATGAGCAAGTACCTAAAATAATCTGTGGCATAATTACTCTGGAACCACGTATCACCACAAAAATTTCTTAATAACATCTATGTGGTAAAATTAAACCGTATCTATATCCATCAACATTTTTCGTTAATACTTACTATTTGTAAGCCTTTAGAGCTATATCACGGTTTCCGGTGTAACAAAGGGGGCCTCTGGTACAAAAAAAAAAACAACAAAAGCTTGTTTTGTTCCTTAAAAGTATTTTAAACACATACCAGCATTACTTGGAAGCCGGCCAGGTATAA